CCCCCCCCCCTCTCTGAGTCTCTCTTAACTGCCATTGTGTAGGAGGTAATGGAAACCATTTCCCTTTCCCCTTTAATCTACTAATAGAATGTAATCTATGTTCGATGAAGAGTAGATAAAATATATTAAGAGAAACTAAAATACATGTATTTTTAATGCATTACTGTTGAGTTCCTGACGTACTTTAAAAATAAGAAAGAAAGCGGGGTTTCTAACACTTTTTTGACAAGTGGCTTGCCTATCAGTTTGTTGAAAATATTTTCTCAGGGATGAGGCAAGACATCAAAATGTTATGACACCATTAACATGCTTGATAGATACAGCATGGAACTGCATAGAAGTTAAGTCTTTTCAGATTTCAGAATGAAAATGTTGGCCCTCTATTCCTTATGACGTTATGTTGTTTATTACAGGGTTTTACGGCGCTCGAAACTGCATAAGGTCAAATAAGCGCTCGAAACACAAGTTGGTCTTGTTAACAAGTTCACTGTACGGCTGGCTCGGGTCAGTAGTTAAATCTTAAAATGCTAAAATGTTTAAAAATCAGCGTAAATATACACATATTTTCAATCTAAAACAATTTTTCTAGTAAACATAAACATTTTTAATAGTATAATTTTACTTTACAATTTGCCACAAAGGCCAATGGCCTTCATAAAATTCAAAATTTTGCTGAGACCAACGACGGAAAAAATGTCTTGCAATTTCTTGCATATATAATATTTCCTTCGGATGTCTCCAAAGTCTAGACATTCGGTTAAGATGTGTCTAACGGTAAAATCTGTGTCGCATCCGACACAGAACGGCTTCTCATCTCCCTGTAGGAGGTATTTGTGGGTCAGGGCCAAAATGGCTAGGTATCCATGCGAACATGATGTTTTTTCCTGTCTCAGATAGTGTGTGAATTTTCTGTTGTAGCCTAACTATTTTTGGGTGTAGGAGTGTGTAGTTTGTGAGTGAGGTGATGCAAGACTGAGAGTCAGAAAGGATAAGGAAAGATTTGTTAGGAGAGTTTTCTACGGAGTCCAGTGCCATGTCAATGGCAGTGGCCTCCGCAGAAAAAAAAGAAGGTTTCAGGATGGAGTCTCCTCTGGTGTGTACTGTTGGAAGATAGGGCTGCGCGCCCACTTCATTGTCTTTTGGAGCCATCCGTGAAGATGAGCTCCGCACCGGGGTATTTATCTATTAGTTTTTTGTATTCTGGTTTAAAAGTTTTGGTGTTTGCGC